CCCAAAGGGTTGGGATCAGTGGTAGGATTCAAATTTTTTTACTACTGGTTCTGTGGGCATGGCTTGGTGGACGTGCCATAGCTTGTTGGGCATGGCAGGGGAAGGATACTGCAAAATCCCCATTTCCCTCCCCAGCCCACTAACCTGCTTTCCAGTTCTGTTCTCCTGTACTTGGCAACCAAAGAAGACCCAGCTAATCAGCTGGGATTCTAGAGGCAGAGAATAAATGGGGACGGAGCCAGTCACAGGTGGGATTTGCCAGTTCTCTGAACTGCTCAAAATTTCTGCTACTGGTTCTCCAGAACTGGTCAGAACCTGCTGAATACCAACTCTGGGTGGGATCCCACAAAATGCTAAGTCATCAACACAAACTGCACCCTTAACCCCAATGCAAACTCAGCAGTCTTAGCATTTTATGCAAGTGTTGCCTGAAACAGAACCACAAACATATTTTAGGATAAAAGTGTAGAGAGGAAAATTAGCTTTTCCAGCTGTTGCTGGCTGAGCAATTGAAGTGTCCTTTAAAATTTGGCATCTCTGTTTGTAAAGTATCTCATTTGATTGAGCTAAAGGTGCCAAAATTTTGGCATGTTTCTTTAATAAATTAAAGCAGGTAAGAGGAACTGAGTGGGATTGAGCCAGAGGCAATATTGGTCTGCAGTTTGTTTTTCACAATGACACATAAGATGCAACAGGATACATGCTGTAGCAATAGAGGCTCCCTCCTGAATCTGCGCACGGATGAAGCTCCAAGTTGTTGAGCTACGATTTATTGAATTATCCACAACATGATAAACAACCACAAACTTTGCTTTCTAAACTGTGAAGCCTGATTTGCTTATTTTAATCAAAAGCTAGCAGAGCCACACTCTGCCCTATTGGAATGCATGACTAGACAAACTAAGCGATCAATAACAGAATTTTAATAAATCAACTATTTATTAAGCCATCTTAAATTGTATGGAGGAAGAATTTATGTTGAGTTCTAGTTGCACCTTGACCAGCTGGATAACCGTGGGTCAGTTACACTCTCTCAGCCCAACCCACCTCACAGGGTTGTTGTTGTGACGAAAATAGGAGGAGGAAGCTTTGTTGGATACATTCACCACCTTGAGTTATTTATAAAATAAAATAAAGGTGGGATCCAAATAAATACATACCGGTAATGCCTCATATTTATAATGTGTTCATTTAATGATTGGGGTATTTGCTTTATGATCGCTGCATTTCTTAAGTGCCACAAAACAATTATTTACAAACGTTCCATATTGCAGCATGACTACAAATCCCATTTGCATGATGCACATTTTCTTCCAGTAAGATACAGGTAATCCTCAACTTACAACTTTTATTGAGTCTGTAATTTCAGTCATAAGTCATGATGGTTGTTAAGCAGCACTAGCAGAGGTGGGTATTCAGCAGGTTCTGACCAGTTCTGGAGAACCGGTAATGGAAATTTTGAGCAGTTCGGAGAACCAGCAAATACCACTTCTGACTGGCCCCGCCAACCCCATCTATTCTCCACCTCCCGAGTCCCAGCTGATTGGCTGGGTCTTCTTTGGTTGCCCTGCACAGGAGAAAGGAGCTGGAAAGCAGGTTAGTGGGTTGGGGAGGGAATGGGGATTTTTGCAGTTACCCTCCCCTGCCACGCCCATCAAGCCACACCCACAGAACCGGTAGTAAAAAAAATTGAATCCCACCATTGAGCACTAGCACTTAGACTTATATATCACTTCACAGTGCTTTGCATCCTTCTTTAAGCGGTTTATAGAGTCAGCCTATTGCCCCCAACAATCTGGGTCCTCATTTTACTGATCTTGGAAGGATGGAAGGCTGAGTCAACCTTGAAACCATGAGAATTGAATTGCTGAACGGCAGCCAGCAGTCAGCAGAAGTACCCTGCAGTACTGCCCTCTAACCACTGCGCCACCACGGCAGGCATGGCCATGTGATGGCCTGCTTAACAATCATCACGACTTACGACAGAAATTGCAGGCTCGGTTACGGTTGTAAGTTGAAGACCACCTGTACACGTTGGGAGAAAATGTGCATCCTGAGAGTGGGATTTGTAGCCATGCTTCAATATGGAGTATTCATAAAGTCCCATAATTGGATTGAAACCCTAACACAACTCAACAACGGTTCCCCTTGACAGAAATGAAATTGCCATGACATGGAAACAAAGATGGCATCTGTTGAGGCTGGCAAACCACACTTTGAAATCTTCAGTCACTCATTAAACAATGCAGATTAAAGTCAAACACCGCGGATAAGGGCAACTAATTAAAAAGTTTGATTCAACTTTCATAAAATTTATTGTGTAACTTTAGAATGTACTAAACAGAATCCCAATATAAATTAAGTGTTATATTAAGTAATTTTAAGCTAGGGGAATGAGTTAAAGGCGTCACTCCAATCAGTGTACAGGAGAAGTATATTAAAAGAGAAAAGATGAATGGATAGATGTAAATAGAACAGACAAAGAATGATAAGTATTATGAATTGAATTGAGATAAGATAAATAAAACAAAACTAAGAAAGATAAAAGAGGGAAGAAGCTATATAGAAAGTTGAAAATGGTAATAAGATATGGAACGATATATAAAGTGAATATGATTTTTGAATTTGTGTCTGTGATATGGAAGAAGTTTTTAGCTGGATCAAACAGCCTTCAGAAAAGATGTTTTATATTTGTTTTTTTAAAAAAATGTTTTATGTTTTGTATGTTTGTGTATTGTTTATGAAAGGCAATAAAACTTTAATTAGCAAGAAATATAATTTGGTTAATAGAATGAAAAGGAGAAGTTGGGATAAGATACGAAGTTGAATAGATAACGTAAATATCTATACTACAATTTGGAACTATTTTGTATGTTCTATTGGTTTTCTTGGAAAGGATTTTTTATGTTATTATGCCTTGATTGTTTGTGTATTGTTTTTGTAAAACTAATAAAATTTGTTGGGAAAGAGAAAAAGTTTGATTCAACTCAATTACGGCAGTGGAAGAGTTAAGGGCCTGGTAGCTAAGAGAATAAATAAACTCTCCCTCCCCTTCATTTGGTGTCTGTGCTAATTTTGCTTAATGGTTAATCCAGAGCTGCAGAGAGGCAAGCTATCTTCCGGGAAATTCCACCGCCCCCCCCCTTAACAGTTGAGCATGTTCTTTCCTCAACCGCTGCTTTTGGGTGTTATGTATAGTGTGTGCGTGTGTGAGGGAGAATGAGACTAAGCACTGTCAATTTGTCTGCAAATCTGGAGATTCCTTCAGGCTCGCTGACAGCTTCTTTTGGTGCCTGAATGGTGCTACTTCAGCCACAGAGTGATAATGTGTTTTGCTAGGTTAATCGAGGACGCTCAAGGCAAAGTCAGTTTTAGCGTCCAAGTCCCGGGCATCAGGACTGCACATGTTTCAAAAATGATATGGAAGAAGGTTTTGATCCTTGCGCAAGCAGATCAGCCTTCTGACAGTCACTGAAGCAGCCAGATGTTGTTTAGGCTTCAGTGGAAACCTGGAAGGCCAAACTATTCTGTGGAATGAATGAATGAATGAATGAATGAATGAATGAACGAACACTGCACACCAGAACAACTAGACACAAGGACAGTTTTTTCTCCCAAAAGCCATCACTTGGCTAAACAAATAATTCCCTCAACACTGTTCAACTATTTACAAATTCTGCACTACTATTACTGTTAATCTTCTCACACTCCTTATCACCCATCTCCTCTGACTTGTGATTGTATGACTGTAATGTTGTCACTTGTATCCTTATGATTTATACTGTTTCGTAGTATGATTTGATTGCTTATTGTACCCCATGACTATCATTCAGTGTTGTACCTTGTGATTCTTGACTCTTGACAAATGTATCTTTTCTTTTATGTACACTGAGAGCATTTACACCAAGACAAATTCCTTGTGTGTCCAATCACATTTGGCCAATATAGAATTCTATTATCTATCTATCTATCTATCTATCTATCTATCTATCTATCTATCTATCTATC